AGTTTTATTGCACACAACCTATGTTTTGCATTGACAAATGATTAGATCTTTGGTCCTAGTTTGGAAAAAAAGGTTGTTGACTTTGAGAATTGAATCATGTTTCCAAAGTTATTGATAAATACTCACAATTTACCCGAGAATTTATTTTTTATGATTTAACAAAAACATGAAACTATTTTGATGAGTACTTTTGCTTTTCTTTGTTGTACATGTGTATAGTATGGAACTATCTCTTAGATGATCTTCACGCAGTATGAAGCTATTTGGTGTTGGTTTATTTTGTTTGCATTCAATACTCTACGCTTGGTTTCACATTAATTCCCTAACAATACTTTCATTGATCAGCCTTCAAGAGGAGATTTTGGGTTGATGGTTAGCTATTATGCTAGGAGAGGAGACAAACATCATGCACGCGCTACTTTTGAGAACATGAGAGCAAGAGGCATAGAGCCTAATTCTTATGTATTCACGAAGTAAGCCCAATTTAAAGAACCAATTCATCTTTTAAATTTTCTTATTCTCACTTGCTGTCTTGACTAAAATTGTAAAGCGACGATAATTTGCAAGGGTTAGCTCTTATTTAGTATGTAATAAACTCATTTTTTATGACAGTTGTTTATACTTTCTTTCCTTTTTGCTGCATGACGTGGAAGGAATGATTGTGACAAGTTTAGTGATAATGAGACACACACACACACATATAATTGCTTAATATTTTTTCGTAAAGTTAAGGAAGGTTTTGATCTCAAACTAGTAGTATATAGACAAATCGATTATGGAGAAAATGAGACTGATAATACATATATGTGCTAAAATTAGTAAGGATAATTGCAAAATTGATTACCTTAGATTAATAGCGGTGTTATCTTTTATAGAAGATAGCATATTGTAAAATAGATTTACGGGTCATTTACATGCATGTTACACAATTCTTATGTATTTTCATGTCTAACACCTAAAATTGTTATATTTATATTTATAAGACTAAAAAATTTTAAACATCACATAAAAAATACTATCATTATTAACTTTTTAAAAGAGAATTACAACCTTTCATACATAGGTTTAAGACACCATATTGTTATTAGTGTAAATATCAAACTTTAGTTGTTAGATATGTAAATAATTAGGAATTCCGTGGTATGCATGTAAGATTTTGTAGATTTGTATGATTTGACCATGCATAAATGAGGATAGAAGATGCATTGATAGAGCAAGTAAGAGTGAATTTTAAATAACTTTGGAGGGAAGGAGTGGAAAGGTGGCGTGATTAGAAATTGTGTAAAATTGTATGTATAACATGGAGTTATTGCTTGTTTAGAACCTAGTATGAATGAATGGAGAATGCGGATTTGAAACATCAACCTCAAATAGTTGGGATAAGGCTAAAAGTTATGAGGATTGACTTTTAATTTTTTTTTTTATTTTTTATTTGTTTTTTATTATTATTGTTTTTTATTATTACTTCTGTTGTAGGATCCTTAATCCCATTGAATGTGGTTTATTTTATGCAGCCTTGTTCATGCGTATGCAGTAGCAAGAGATATGAGAGGGGCCTTGTCTTGTATTGAAGAAATGAAACGTGATGGTATTGAGTTAACATTGGTGACATATAGCATCCTCATTGGTGGTTATGCCAATATTAATGATGCAGAGTAAGCTATTTTATTTCATTGTTTGTGTTTTGTCAGGTTTTTGATTATTTTTGTTTGAATCATCTTTTTATCTATGGAAACCACCAATACTTCTTGATTTCACGGAAATACCATTCCCTACAGAAATAGTAAAACCATTTGCACGAGTGAGCATTAAAATTTTTATTTACTATTTTATTCATGCCTCTCATATTATTTTAAGAGCTCGTTCTAAATAAATTTATTCACTTGGACTCGTTGGTGCAATTTCCGGTTATGTATTTATAGCTTATATTGTAACTATTTAGAGAAACTTTCCATTTGCATGCTTTCATTTTTTGTGAGAACATATGCAGCGCCAATTCAACGACTATTTAGATTGAATATTTAACCCTTGTAAATAATACATTTTTGTTTTCATTGTCAACCCTTGTAAAAAATGCATTAAATATACCTATTTAATTTAACTTTTTTTTTTTTTTGAAGATTGAGCGCATAGACTAAGGGCTTTTCAGAAAATTTGACTTAGGTTTCTCTTATGCTGGTGTCTAGGGCCATTTAGTTTTTTATGCGCCTAATGAGCAAGTTAGTCTTTTGTTATTTATTATGGTTTAGTATAAATAAACTGAGATTTTTAGGGCTAGGGTTATGCATGAAATTGTGTCCCGATTCTTAGTGTTAGGGTTTGGGAGAGATTTCCTACTTATAGAATTATATGACTTGGAAGAGATCACCTACCTATCGAATTGTAGGTGTTTATCTTTTTTGTATTCGGAGTTATATTGCTTTAATTTATTTTTGGCGGAATAAAATCTATAATTTTCTGGCCTAATTTTTGTGAGAAATCGCCCCGTTTCGTATTAAATTGTTTTCATGACAAGATTCTGGGAAGCCAACATCCAGACAGTGACATATAGGTTGAGTGTCGATCGGGATAAAAAACTACATACTTTTGCGAATGAACCCCGTGATACAGTTGTTATACTGGGAAGCATCAAGGGGATCGTGGCATTGTGACCGAACTCCTTCGTGACCAAATTCCACGATACAATTGTGATCTTGGGAAGCATCGACAGGATCGCGACGTACAGGCCCTCATGATTGAACCTCACGATTTAGATAGTGAAATAGATTGACCTAACCGCGCGATATAGTTGCGACTTGAGATACTTTGGGTAGTCACAGATGTGATTTCAGCATGCAAGAGTTTCTTGTTTGGAAACGACCTTGGAGAAATGAAAACAAGGAAAGTTGATGCTTTGGAAGAGAGATTGGATGGAGAGTTAGGGAAACTTAAATCCAGGATAGAAAAAATGTTTCCTTCATTGTCAATTGATTCGATAACTTGGAGGAGATGATAAGGAAGTTTATTGAGATCCAATCCAAGACCCCACGTACAGCTCAACTTACAAACCCTAGTCAAGGGTTAACTAGAGAATCCTTGGCCAGATCAAAAGGAAAGAGATTAAATGTGAGGAACATGTGGAGTAAAACATCCACCATCAAAAACTCCCACCTAGGACCCCGATGAAGATTGGATTAGACATTTCAAATTGAGGGGGTTGGGCCGAAACATGGAGGGCTTTTGGAAGGGGTTGGGAGGCGCATGAATGAGGAAAGTCAGGAAGTGATACTATGATTGAAGGAGGGAGTTGTCAGAGAGAGATGATGTTGGGCTGGAGGTGTTAGGATTAGGAAGTTAAAGATGCCAATCTTCGAGGGGGAAGAAACACATGGGTGGGTGTACTAGTTAGGCTATATTTCTCGATGATGGGCTAAATGAAGAGAAGCTCATGGTGACAGTGTTATGTTTGGAGGGAAAAACTCCAGCATGGTTTCAGTGGTGGGAGGTTAGATACTCGATTTGTTTGTGGGAGGAATTTAAGAATTGCTTGTTGAAATGTTTCAGAGCCATTCATGAAGGAGACTTACATAAGTTATTATATTGTTTAACTCAAAAAGGGACTGTGATGGATTAGAGAGATTCGAGCTATTATCCGGACGAGAAAAGGGGGATTTCTAAAGCAGGATTGGTGAGGAACTTTATGAAAGGCCTAAAGCCCGACATGCGGGCAACACTCCAACTATTGAGACTACGAGGGGTGAGGAAGACGATGGATTTCGCCTGGATTGTGGAAGATAAGAGCCAGATGAAGAAGGCTAACAAAAGCGACACCAATGGAGGATTCTATAAGAATACCTCGACAACCATGTCATTGAAGACCCAAATTGTTATTTCAGAATGTTTCGAAAATATGTTGATTGGTTTTAGGAAACTAGGTAAAATTTTAACCACTTAAAATATACTCCAAAATTTGAATCCCTCAAATTTCAATTTGAATTAATTTTATAAAGTTTTATGCTTAAAACAATAAATCTGATATAAATCACTATATATAAATTATAAATAGAATGAGAGATAAAAATTTTACAAGATTTTTAGTTAATTAAGTTAATTAAACTTTAATTAAACTTATATCCCTCTCTAAGCCTGCTTCTTTGTTCCCACCGACCTACGCATGTGATATTTAGTCCTATGGGATGTTTCAAATGAGGGGATCCTTATTCTAGAGCCTTCAAATCACTGTCCCACCTCTTGGTTTCGTCTGCACGAAGCTCTCTTGATTTCTCCTCACACCAGCTTTTGTGTGATTCTGTATTGTAGAAGAATTGCGATCTATAGCAGGCGAGCGACCCATCGAGAGCCGCAACTCTCTGTTCAAACTTCAGGATGAAATTGGTGAGTGCGAAACTTTCTTTCACGCATTTTTTTTTATTTCCGGTCGCCATAGTGGAGACGAGATTGCGTTGAAATAGAAGAAATTGGTTTATGAACTTTCGTAAGGGTCTTTAGTGAGAAATCAATGAAGATAAGAGAAGGCTGAGGAAAGTTAAAGTATAGGGAAGAAGATTAGGCAGGATCGAAAAATGTTGGTTTTCCCCAAAGCCCATTTGAGGTAAGAAAGTCATGTTTTGGTTTAAATTACTTTATGAGCTATGATATCTTAAAATCCTAAGAAATTTAGAAATTTCAGGTTATTTATCTAAGAATGTGAGCTTGAGGCTAGCATGTGAAAATTAGTTGTAGGTCTACTTTGTTAATTTCAGATAAAATAATTTTGTGCTAACTTAAGAAAAATAATTCGATTATCAGAAATTGGTTGAATCTTAAAATTTGATTTTTTTTGTTCTATAGTTTATTAAGATCAACATAAAAGTTATCACAGCATTCAACAAGTTACTAAAGATTGAGTATCTAGCGTGACAACTGAAGTGAGCAATTATATTTCTAAATTTTAGTAATTTTCTTTATTTCAAAATGTTTGTTTTCTTTATTATGCTCTAGTTTAGTAAGCTCATTCATATTGTTAGACAGAAAAAATATACATAATAAACACGATATGACAAAATGTTCATTATATGAAAGATATGCATGAGATAGATGTGAAAGGTATTAATGATATACAAGACATGCATGAGGTAAGAGATGAATGATATGAGATGCATAATATGAGATGTATGAGGATTAGTGCACAACAGAGTAAATATGCATGTTAGTAGATGAATAAAGATGTCTCAGAAAAATGCTTGTTATGAAGAATGAAATAACTTATATACGAATGCTTGTGTGCTTACATGTGCGTGTTAAGAATAGGAGTTCACCCTCCAATGATACAGGCAAGGGACGCGAGTGTATCCCTATGCGTAGTTTTTTATTACCCCAGATAATTGTGATCTTTAGATCACTAACTACTATGCCAATAGGAGAATATCAGCCAGAGGAGAGTTGAAAGAGCTTACCTCCCCAGATAATTATGATGTTTAGATTGTGAATCGTTGTGTCGACGAGAGAATATCATCCAGGGGTATGCAACGACCTTTCCAACTTAGACAATTGTGAAGTTTAGACTACTAACCACTGTGCTGATTGAATATCGACCTGTGGTGTTTTAGATTATTTTTTATGGTGATTCTCATAGAGACAAGTATATATGTAAAAATTATAAAATAAAAGAAAAGCTATAGTAAATGCATATAGAAAACTTGAGTATTTTCATTGAGTAAAGTCATTGATACATGCATTAGTATACTCAAAAATTTCTTATAGAAATATAAAAGATTAAGATACTCCAAAATTTTTTATAAAGATATGAAAGAACAACATATATTTTAATCTTTTCTCGGATTACTGTAGTTTAGAATTGTGATTACTCGTAGCTTATTTTTGAATAAGTCATTATGTTGTTAAAATAGTTTTTTAAGGTTTTAAGCTTTTGAATAAGATGAATAAAAGAAAAACAAATATGTATAGAGGCGACAACAACTAGAAATGTATAAATTTATACTTGTTAGTTGAATTATTTTTTTTAGTGGTTCTTTTATGAATATTTGAATATTAAACTATTAGTGATAGAAATAGAATGACAGAATAGATTTCTACCATCCGACTGTCCGTTCTTAGTTTGGTTAAATGCAAGTCTTGGGCCAAGGCGTGACAGAAGGAGAGCTATACGGGGCCCATCTCGGGAGCAACATCAAGTGCCTCACAGAGACAGAGGTGCATGACAAGAGAGCAAGGAAATTATTTTTCCGATATGATGAGAATTACGCCCAAGGCCATCAATGCAAGAATTGTACGCTCCAAGCTTTTTTAGTTTGTGAGAGGGAGTACGTAGAAGTTGGGAGGGAGATGAGCCCTTACACTTAGATTTAGCGGATCTATCCCTCAACTCAGTGGTGAGATTTAATCCAAATCATATCATGATGGCGAGGAGATAGATCAGGGAGCAACCAGTAGTAGTGGTGGTAGATAGTAGCTCCACTCAAGTTCATCTCAAATTAGGTCATGGAATGGTTGGAGTTGAAGCTGGTAGATATTAGAAGTTTTGGGGTTATGATGAGGAATGGAAGGTGGGAAAAGGTAGGGGAATTTGCAGGGGATTGTTGTCGAAGCTACAGGGGATATAGGTGATGGAGGACTTTCTTCCTTTGAACTTGGGAAGTACTGATGCGATTTTGAG